TAGGGAACTGTGGGAACAAAGAGCAGAAGCCATGCCACAGTGCCTGTAAGATATTTTGGCGGAGAAGGAAGCCCCCCAGGAACATCTTCCTGCCCTAGAGGGCCCCGTTTCCCACCATGCCTTGCTGTCATGAATTGTACCAGCTGAGTCATGTCATGTCTCACCCTCCGTTCTTCTGGGACACCTCAAGACAGCTCTGAAAGATCACAGAGTCAATGCACAGACACATGCCTCACGTCCGAGTCATTTCACTAGGATGTGTTAAGTGTTCTGCTCAGTGGTTCTCCCCATCTCCACCACGCTGGTCCCCTGCTCTGTGGTAGGCCTTGAGCTAAGCAGTTGCTGCATGACATCTCATTTCTTCTCCTCAGCCACCAAAGGCAGGCTCTATGAATCATGTTACAGAGCGGAGACTAAGGCTTAGAAAGGGTCAGTAACTTCCCCAAGCTCACACAAAGAGGAAATAGTGAGCAAGGCCCCTGAATTTGACTCTCTCTGACTCAAGACCCCTGAGTGTTAGTCTCTACTCCCCCAGAGGACACTCACCTGCATACTGAGACACCCAGGTACACGCAGACCACTCACCATCTCAAGTCATACTGTGTACGAGCTGTGCAACGTGAACATAGCCAGTGACGGGCACGCACTTGCTCTCTTGCCATCCAGTCAGAACAGACTCATTCCTTCCTAGCTGGCCCGGCAGAGGCTGGAAATCACACGGGAGGAGATTGTTCTTCCTCCCACAGAGCCACTGGTGAACTCCAGGTACAAGTGAGCAGGGACAAGGCTCTCGGTCACTCCTTACCTTATGCTCGTGCGTGCAGCAGTCCACTTATTTGGTAGTTAACAGTGTAGGTCTTGGTACTGGATGTGTGAATTGGAAGCCCAGCTCCGCCTCTTTGGGCAGGTTATTTGATATACCTATGCCTCAGTTTATTTACCTGCAAAGTATAATGATGAGGAAGATAACAATAGTGCTTACTTCACTGTTGTTGTTGGTGAGTGAATGAATACGTGCTTGGCTTACTGCCTGACACAGAGTCTCATTTCAGTGTTGGGCTGTAATAGTTATGTGTGCATGAATGTATTATCACACAAACACGCTTAGTTCTGTGTCCATAGACACTTGCAGCACATAGGGGAGAATGTGCCCATAAGTCACCTTCTGAGTGCTCAGAAATGCATACTTTTGTTTACATCTGCCCCCAAGGTGCACACACTAGCTCTGCCAGAAAGGTAGCAGTTCCTCGACCTGCATTGGAAGTGAGCGGGGAAGTCCGTGGGGCCCTGGGTCAGCTGAGCCATATCTTGGGGCAGTGGGGTGTGTGCTTCTCGCTCAAGCAGCAGCAACTCTGCTCAGGAGCCCCAGTTACGACGGGTGACGTGTGAGCTGCTGGCATGTGAGAGGGACCTGTCAGCAGGCGTGGGTGGGAGCAGGCCCAGGGCGCCTCCCGGGGAGACCCAACAGGGTGGCGCATGCCAGTGCAGTTGGGAGGTCTGCAGGAGCCGGAGCCAGTGTCTGCCCACGCTCACCCATGCCCACCCGTGCAGGGCTTTCGCCTTCCACCTTCGCCCAGCAGAGCCAACAGCCAAGCCTGTAGCAAGCTGGCCTCTGCATCCTCCGGTGCCAGCAGAGGCTGACTCAGGCACCAGAGACTTGAAGCCAAACAGTCTCAATGCTGCGAGTGCAGGAAAGACCTGGCCAGTGTCCCTCCTCACCTTGAACAAGGCACAAGAACCAATAATGGCTCTCAACGCCTTCGTTTTGGGCAATGGGTGTTAGAGGAGAATAAAATCCTAAATTGCTGCAACTGAAGTGAAGGCACACATCCTCATGATGGCCAATAATATGGTCCCAGCCCCCTGAAATTTCTGGTACTATGGGAACTCTGGAGACTAAGGTGCATCTGATCCAGGCCATGGTCTTCGCAATCACTTGTCATGCATCTGAGAGTTGGACGATGAATGATCAGGGAGGATGGAAGGAGAATTGATGCCTTTGAGCTGTGGTGCTGGAGAAGAGTACTGAGAATACCATGGACTGCTAGGAAAACAAACAGATTTGTCCTGGAAAGGATTAAACCAGGTGGCTCCTTGGAGGCAAGGATTCTGAGGCTCTGTCTAACATACTTTGGACATGGTGGGAGGAAAGACAGACCGCTCCTTAGAGAGGGACATCATGCTTGGGAGGGTGGAGGGACAGCGCAGGAGAGGAAGGCCCTCTATGAGGTGGATTGATTCAGTGACTGGGATAATTGGGATGGGAGTGTCAGAGACGGTACGATTGGCACAGGACAGAGCGGAGTTTAGGGCTGTTGTACGTAGGGTCGCTATGAGTCGCAAGCGACTCGACGGCACATAACAACAATGGGAACTCTGAGGTCTGAAGAACTCAGATAGCCCCAAACATGTCTAGAGACATCTAGGTACATCTAGTGTGAGGTACAAAACATCGTGGCTCCCTGCACCCCTCAGCCAGCTTCTACCCAGCCCTCTCCTTTGTGTGCAGCTGGACAGAAGGAAGAGGGAGGAGGACTAGACCTGACGTGCCCTTTGGAGCTTCCCTGCTGAACAAATTGAGATCCATCCTTGTATCTCAGATCCTTCACTCTAGGGACGGGAGGGAGCAGCTTGTTCGTGGAAGGGTTTCTACACCTCTGTGTGTGAAGTAGTGGGGAGAGGAGATGGTGCCAGTGGAGAAGGGACCAAAATCATGGCATCGTACCAAGGCCCCTGGAGAAAGATCCATGCACAGGGCTCGTCTCCTAGATGGCCGAGGGAGTGGGAAGACGAGGGCGGATAGGGGTCAGCAGGCTCGTGAACATGCTTTGTAGCACATGGACTAAGATGAACACGCTTTGTAGCACATGGACTAAGATGAACACGCTTTGTAGCACATGGACTAAGATGGACACGCTTTGTAGCACATGGACTAACGTGATGAGACAGTGCAGAAATTCCCCTGGGACAGTGTCCCCCCGGGGGGAGGTCTCCTGGGCCTCCCACAGCCTCCTGCTGACCCCAGAGGGGGCTTGGTTCCTTCTCAGGGTGACTCTGCAGCTCAAATTCCAGAGGCAGGACATTTCAAAGGCAGTCATCCTAACTATCCAGGAACCATAGGAAGCCACGGGCTTGCATAAGAAAAAAGAGCGAATGTTCTCCTGCTGGGAAAAAATAAGAATAGATTGTTCTAGTGAGTGGGGTTGGCAGTGTCCACACCTTGGTGGAGAAAAAAAGAGATTGGAAGAAATTGGAATTGGCAGGATTTGGGCAAATCCTCAGCAAGACACGTTTCCAAGTGGGCATGTTCCTGGAGGCATGTCCCAGGGACACACCCAATGGTAATAAAATCCCTGGGCCCAGCTCAGCCCCTTCCAGGGGAAAATCTTTTCCCTGGAAAAAGGGTTTCCATCTAAAGCAGGCCTCAACAGCACTTCTTTGGCCTCCTGGGGCTACGGGTAGACCTGGGGTGACCAGACTGGGAAGGGTCTGGATGAGATGTGGGAACCAAAATGGTCTACCTTTTTGGCTTTGGAACTTGGACTTGGGAAGTCATTTGACTTCAAGAGGCTCTTAAAATTGGCTCTAAGTTGGCACTGTGTTCTTTGGGACTTTGTATGTTAAGCCTAGTGAATGGAAAGGTGGGGTGTGGCCACTTACCCAGAACAGCTCAGGGGAGTCTGTCCTCCTCTGTGGAGGTCTGAGGGACCAGTTGCCTAAATTGATCTCCCGACTTGGATCATGTGAAGATCCTTCTTTCATCATCTTTGGCGACTGATTGCCAGTTAACACTTTGCCGCACACTTTTAACTTGACGACCATGCTTAGAAACACATTTTTCTTTTTTGATGTATTACTGTCATTTGCTGCAGTGTGTTAAGGATGGAGGTAGTGAGGTTAATGCCAGCTAAGTTAAACAGAACAGCAAATTCACTGGCTCATGCAATTAGGAAGTCCAAGAGAGTAACCAACTTCAGGTGCCGCTGGAACCAGGAGCTCCAGTAATGCTAACCAGCACTGAGCCTCTTTCTTGCTCCACATCTCCTGGCTTCTCTGCTCTTTCATTGTGCAAGTTCTTTCCAATACTCTGATTTCCCAAAATCCCTGGTTTATATGAGATTTGGGGTTCAGGTGTAGTAAGTTCCATGTCTCTTCCTACAAAGGCCCTCTAAGTAGGTTTGCTTGGGCTACAGACTAGTATTGAGCTGTGACATTGGCCAGGAAGGTGACAGGCACTGACTGGCCAAAAAACCTCTATCAGTGGTCGAGAAAGCAGAGTTATACGGGACCAAAAAGCTATACGGATAGAGCCTCCCTGTTCCGTGTCCTCAGTCAGGATCTGTGGAAGAAGAGGTCGAGTTGTTGCTTGCTGACAAACTGTTGAGGTTTTTGTGAGGACTCCAGGACTAAGAAAGGAGAAAGCCATTAAAGCCATCTCTGCAAAGACTCTGCCCCTTTAGGGAATTCTCATCAGCCACAGCCTCTGAACAACCAGCTCATTGTGGCTTGGTGTGCTCTCTGCCCCCCAGACTTTCTTTGCACCCCACCAGAGCTCCCAGCCATCTCCCTTCCACAGAGCCATTCTCCAAATGCCAAAGTCCACCTCTGCCCCGAAGCCCTCCTGGACTGTACCTGAGCTCCATAGAGTACTCACAGTCCACACAGTGGATGGACCGTGGGTAGATTCCATCTGATGGCACTGTCTAAGGACTATGGATGTAGGCAGAGGGCCCACAGCTTCCTGGAGAGCAGGAGCTCTGACCCCTCCCAATTCTCATTGCAGCAAACATCTGTACCTTGTCATTTTTCAAGCCTTGTTCGCAGGGAGCATGTCTATCTCTTCTTCCTTAGGAAGGTATATACCCCTGGAGCTGAATGTGGGCCAGATGCCCAGGCACCAGGCTTCGTCCTCTGCTCCTCTCTCCCTGCAGGGCCCCAGCCTCACCTCTGCCCCCTGTTCAGGCCCTCATGACCTTGTTCTCTTTTTGTCCTCTCTGCAGGCTGGTGGTTCGTGAGCACCTCTGAGGAGCAGGGCTGGGTCCCTGCCACCTACCTGGAGGCACAGAATGGCACTCGAGATGACTCTGACATCAACACCTCCAAGACTGGGGAAGGTAAGGGCCTACAGGTTCAAGGGGGGGATTGGAGAGGTGGGGTCGAGCTGGGCTGCCGTGAGGATCCCAAGGATTGGTGCCCGTCCCCGGGGTGACTCCGTCCCTCCTGAAGACCACTCTGCCATTCAGAGTCCCCTCAGGTCCCATCTCTGACAAGGCCACCTGTTCCTTTGGCCCTGCTGAAAATTGGGGGTAGGAGGTCGTTTTGTCTGTTCCTCTCAGGACTTTGCAACTTTAAGCAGAGACTGGGGAGAACTCCTGAAGCTCCCTTCTCCCCAAAGTCTTGGATGACCCACAGAGACCACTTTGCCTCCCTGTTCTCCGTGAGGCTGTTTGCTCTCCCATCCGTCCTGAGCTGACCATCACAGCCTGTCCAGGTACAGACCATCAGGCAGGTCTGTGGGTCCTTTCTCATGTCTCAGGAAGTGAAGGGCAGTTCAAGCCCTGGCAGCTTCTGCTTCTGGGTTAGCCCTAGTTCAGGTTGTCTGGGTCTTGTTCCATCTCAGAGGCCTGCCTGACCACCCTGCCCCAGCAGCCCCCTGCAGCCCTCCACACTCAGACTTTCCCCAGAACAAGTTGCCTAAACCTGGACATTTGAGCCACGCCATTTCCCTACTTCCTGACTCTTGTTTCTTTCTGCCTGTCACATATCCTGGCCGCAGGAGCATTTTCCTAACAGTTGACAGGATGGTCCAGATGTGTGTGTCTGAGATGAGAAAATAAGGCCTAGGCCGTCTCCAGACTACTTTCCCTGCCAATGCCCCCAGCCCCAAACCAGGAGCCTTCTGCCATGTGCCAGCTCGATATTCACCTGTCCGTGACTCTGCAGGCACTAGGTTTCTAACTGTCCTCCCACTTCATTTTAACATCTTGTCCAGAACTTTGACCCCTGTAGTGACCTTTCACCTGTAATAGGTTTCCAGGGACTAGGCCCAATATGGACAGGCCAGCATGTGTGGGCTGAGCTGCTCTCTGAGCCAGGGGGCTGGTTTCCACCGAACCCTGTCCTCAGCCTCTGAGAGCCTTTCCCTCTGAGCTGGGTCTAGTCTTGTTTGTCTCCAGTACCCAGGCCTTGCACATTCTAGAAGTTTCCCAGAGCCTCTCAGAAATCACATCAGCCCAATGCTAATGTCTCACGAGGTGCTTGGTGCTTCAGATGCCCTCAGCACCACTCAGGGAGGATGCGGTGACCGTCTTTCCACACGCGGGGACTGAGGCAGAACCTTGGCCTGCCTGTCTTGCTCCTTACCACCATGCCTTATCTCCGTTCCATGTGCTTTGCTTGGAAACAGTGAGGTGTCCCGTGGCCCAGCACTGAGAGATTTTGGGTAAAGAATTGCAGCCCCGAGATGAAAAGACAGTGGAGAAAGAGGACACAGAGTACAAGATCTGGACAGGAAAGTCTGTTGAGACGCTTATGGGCAGAAGCCAGACTGATCGGAGCAGAGAGAGAGGGTGCTTTGCAAAGAGCAAGTGGTGACCAGGCAGGAGGGTAGTTCACAGGGTGTGTGTGCTTCTGTCTGCCTGCCTGTGTACACATCTGTACCCTGAGGGACCCTTCTTGCTTTCTATAGGACCAGTGTGCCAGTACTCCTGACTATACTTGGAGAGCTAGGAATTCCACTATTGCCTCTCCAGTCTCTGTGCTGTTGACCCAGCAGTTTACATGCCCGATAGTCTCTGCCCCGACATCCATGTGCCTGAGGGATCAGCCCAGCCTGGTTCCCTCTCTGCCTATCTCTACCCCAGCCCTGTTGCCAGGTCCCCTGATTTTTGTAGACAGAAACTGGAGGCCTTCATCCTGTCAAGGCCCTCTCCCAACTTGACCTTAATTGAAAAGAGACAGTTGTTCCTTTAGGTTTGTTTCTAGTGTCAGACACAAGTGTGTGTTCATGTTTCTCGTGAAGCCAGGTGTGCTGTGGTGGTGGTGGTGTTATTGTTAGGTGTCGTGGTTTTGACTGGTTGTTATTTTAGGTTTGTTTCTAGTCTCAGACACTAGTGTATGTTCATGTTTCTCATGAAGCCAGGTGTACTATGTTGGTGTTGTTGACGTTAGGTGTCATGGTTTTGACCTAACAGCAAGCCTGTATCCAAAAAAAGAAACCCTGCCCAGTCCTGTACCGTCCTCCAGCGTTGCTGTGTTTGTGCCTGTTTTTGCAGTCACTGCGCTAATCCATGTGTTGGCGGTATTTCTCTTTCTCATTGATCTTCTGCTTTACCGACCCCTCCTGAGAGCAGGTGAGCAGGTGTGAAGTGTGCAGGATGAAGTCTTGTCATCCTCATGCTGTCACTCATGCTTATCTGAGGAACATGCTGGTTGTATTTCTTCCAAGATAGATGTGTTTGTTTTTCTGGCAGCCCACACGCTGTATTCAGTATTCTTCTCCAGCATCATAATCCAAAGGCCTCATTTCTTCCTGAGTCTACCCTAGGCGTTGTCCAGCTTTCCAGTGCATTTGAGGCAATTGAAAATACCCCGGGTTGGAGCCGGGCACTTCAGCCTTCTGAGCAACATCGTGGCCCTTTAACACTTTAAAGAGCTCCTCTCTCACAGAGCTTCCCATTGCAATCCCTTCTTTGATTCCTTGATTGCTGTTTCCATGAATGTATCCTGTGTGCAGTTCAGAAATGGTAGCCATTGGGGCGGGGATCCTTGAGACCTTCTCACCCACTGATGGTGACCGCTTACTCATCAGGCCCTGTAGTGACTGTCCGCGCTGTCATCTCTCAGAGATAAGGAAGTGAAGACCTGCAGAGTCCCCTGTTAGTTTGTGGCAGAGCCAAGGACAGACCCAGTGCTCCTGTGGCCTGCAGTCGTGTGGCCAGCCTTCCTCTCAGAATGACCAGGAGAAAGGGCTGCACTGGGGCCAGCACACCAGGTGGTGGTCATCTGGACTGCTGCACCGAGACACCCCTCCAGCTCCAAACCTGCTCCCCTCTAATTGGGTCTTCTCCATGGTAGCTTTTATATCCTCTTGCTTCTCTTTGCTCATCTATAAAATGGGAACAGTCCCAGCCACTTAGCACTTTTGTAAAGCTTAAGTGAGATGATACTTCTGAATCGCTTAAACTGGTCTGACACATTGGCCCTGTCATGTGCTCCCCTGGGTGTGTTTCTTTCAGCCCCTCGTTTCTCTTGTGCCAAGGTGGACAAGGCGTCCCATGTGACAGGTGAATAAACAGAGGCTCAGAGTGACACCACTGTCCCAGGAGACACCGAGAACTAGTCATGGACTTGGACTAGAACCTATCTCTCCTGGCCTTTTATCCTGGCCTCCTGCTTACAAGAGGCGGGTCACAGAGGCCACACTCCTCTTTCTGGAAAATCAGATATTTGCCATGAGACCTGGCTGTGATGTATGTGGAGGGTTGTACTTTAGCAACCCTCCCCAGGAGCCTTCCTTCCCCAGACCTGCACAGCCTGGCACCCTTGTGGCACCCAGCTGGTCCCTGAAACCCTGGTCTGGTGCCTCTTCCCCTGGGAGTTCTGTGGGAAGGCAAGGCATCTGGACCTGGGAGCCTGAACGGGGTCTACTTAGTCACAGCAGCCTGAGGGCCAGTGCAGGATGCACCCCAGGGAGGGTGTCAGAGGAGACAGAAATGGATGCTTGAGGGGATGGATCAGCCCCAGGGTCCATGTGTCCATTCCATCCTGCAGACTTGTCTTGGGACTCAGGTCCTGTGCTAGGCCCTAGGATGTAGCACTAAAAGGCCAAGTCTTTGCCCTCATCACGTTTATCTGGGGTGTGACCATGAAAGCAAAGACAAACCCAAGACCCAGTGTGGAAAGAGCTAGAAGCACCAAAGGCAGTGACCCCAAATCTCTCTTAGGCTCTTTACCTGGAACCCCACCAGTGCTACACGGTCTCAGTAAATCTTTGGTAAGAGAGGGTGAGTGCTGGGACACCCCAAACCCTTTTGGGAGTCAGCACTGTCCAGCATGGTAGACTGGTGACTGCCCAGGCCTTGGGAACTTTCCTCTCTGAGGACCAGGGATTCTGTGTTCTTTAGCTCCTAGGCTTTGAGCGAAACCCCCAGGGTCTGGGTCTGGCTGAGTTTACCCCACATGCTGACCACCCTCAGGCATGTTCTTGGTCTAGGAGCGTGGACCATCCCTCCCTCCATCCATTCCCCCCAACCCATCCCATCTGCATCTCCATTCTCTCCTCCGGTTCCTGTTGGTCTTTTGGCTGCATGCCCCACCACCATCTTCCACACCAGTGTCCAAGAGACGCAAGGCCTATCTGCGACGCCTGGATCGCCGGTGGACCCTGGGCGGGATGGTCAACAGGCAGCACAGCCGAGGTGACTGCGGGAGTAGCATCTCCTAACCCCACAGCTGGCAGCTCTGTCACTTACACCTCTCTTCCCTCTACGCTTTGCTCTGTGCCTGTGGCCACCTCACTCAGACTCTTTCTCTTCTACTGCATCGGGGTGGGGTGCAGAGGCTGCTTGGGAACTAGGGTGGTACTGGGGGTGCCTCTGGCTTCTGCTAACTTCCTGAGGGTCAGGGGCATGAAGCCATGGGCCTACAAAGTGGTTGTGGGGGCCCCTGAAACCGGGAGCCCAAGGAGGGTGATGAAGAAGAAAGCCAGTTAGGCACTTAGAGAAGTCCCTTATGTCCTGGCAGCTGCACATTTAGGGAGCTGAGCTTGTTTAAAATTGGGTGCTCCACTCATCCAACATACTTCCCTCCTCTGAGAAAGGACTCCCGTAGTCAGAGCATTCTAGGCTGAGAGCAGAATGGGAGTAAGAACCAGCCCTCTGCTGGCCCCAGGGGAACTAAGGAAGGCTGGGAAGCCAGCGCCGCCCTCCACCAGGGTGCAGCCCTGACCGGCTCCGATGGGGCTGGCTGTCCGGCCAGGAGCTGCTGGGTGTCCCAGCACTGGGTACTGCCAAAGGAGGATGTAGCAAGAATTGAAAGCAAAGGTCCACCCCAGCTCAGGACACCATTATAGGACAGGGCTGAGATGTAGCCCTGATCCTTGACAGCAAAGGAGATCAGGGAAAACAGACCCAGAAAACCATGGACAGCAGGACAAAAGCTTTGTCTTCCGCTGCCCTGCCTGGCACCTGCTGCAGGCACCACCACACACTGAGTCCCCAGGCACGACTCTGCTCACCACCTCACATCCGCAGCCTCTGCAGCAGCGTCTACAAGTCTGCAAGACCCTTCCTGCACAGGCTCATGTAAAACCAGGCCTGCTGCTGTGAAGGAGATTCTGATGCGTAGCAACCCTGTGAGCAGAGCAGGACTCCCCGATGGGTTTCCAAAGCTGTAATCTTTATGAGAGCAAACTGCCACATCTTCTCCCACAGAACAAACTGGGAGCTTGAGCTGCCAGCCTTTCTGTTAGCCCCCCAGCATTTCATCACTATGGTGTTAAGGCTTCTGCAGTCTCATATACACCACCTCATCCCCTAACCACTTACACACAGGTAATCACAGGAACAGATGCTTATTTACTTATTGTGTACATACTCAACCAAATGGATCATTCCAGAATCACCCATCCACATGCAGATACAAAAGATCCCATACCAGTCCTTGACTCTGTTCTTGTTCATCCCTCCCTCTCTCCCTAAAATAAGAGACAGAAACTTCATCTCCCAGCCTCAGCCCTATGGGTTAAGTTAAATCAGGCAGCCAAGAAAAACTCGAAGAAAGCTGGCTGGGACAAAGTTCTCCACAAGCAGCCGCAGTGATGGGAGAGGGGGACGGTGGGTCATCCACCCAAGAGAAAGACGGTGCTTCCTGGGGGCCTCCACTCCAGTCCCTCAGCCAGCCAGGCTCAGAGTCAGAGGCCTCTCGCTGTGGGGTTGGGGAAGTTGGCAGGGGCACCAGGAGGGAGTCTGCTGACAGAGGGGAAAGTGTTTGGAAAGAGGAGTCTTCCGCGGTTTGGAAACTGCTGGGCTCTCCAGCCCCTGCCTCCAAAACTAAAACAGGCCTGTCCACCTCCCCCGTGACCCACCCACTCAGCAGCCGACCAGGGGCCTGGCCATCCCCCCTCCACCCCAGTGGGCTGTCGCCATCACTTGATGGCATGTTCGAGCTCGCCTGGGCTCCATGCCTGAGGAATCACACACCCCCCTCCTTTCTCAGCTGTTTCCTTAGGGGCTTCTCTTCCAGAGACCCCGGCCAGCCCAAGTGGCTCATCCAATCACCTAGGCCGTGTCTCTCTGTCTGGACAGCCTCCCTTCTGGCTTCAGGCCCAAGGGAAGACCTGGCTCTACACGTCGTCACTTGGGGAAACCTGGGAGCCCACATGGCCCCTGTTCATGGGGAGACACTGCGTACCCCGACAGAAAGCCGAGTCCCTAGATGGACAGATAGGTGGACAGCCGGGTTGGTCTGCCTCCGAGTAAGCTCACTGGCAGGGCTTCCCAGAACAGGGCTGTTTGCAAGGAGCACCTCTTGTTCACCTGACACCCTTGGTGCAACCTATGCCAGCAGGATAGAGGGGATGGGCAGTGGGTCCTCGCACAGCCCATGGGACCGTCCTAACAGGACGGACCTAATAATACACAGGAACACTGCGCCTGGACCTGGTGGTGCCAGGAGGCTGATTGCTGAGGGCAGGGCAGGGCTCTTCTGATCTCCCCTAGAGAAGGACTGTCAATTTTCTCTGCAACCTTGCCTAGGAAAACTTTAACGATGACTTCCTGCTCGAACCACAGGCTTTTAAAAATAGCCCAGTCTAACAAAGGCAGAATGTGGAGTCCAGGCCTCGCCTCACCCTAACCTCAGAACCCTGGATCCCTGGGGCCTGGCCCTGGCTCTCTGGCCACCACCAGGGCCAGGGTTTACCGTGCCCCACTGGAAAATGGAGTGGGGCCAGGAGCCCGGCAGGAGAGTGGAGGGTTGGCCTGCACAGCCCTGCCCTTCTTTAAGGCCCGAGTCAGAATCTGGCTGCCTGAGGTTCTCAGGCATCCTTGGCAGCAACCCACAGCATGGCTGGAGTGGAACCCGGACACTTCCAGGACAGTCAGTGCTGAGAAGGGCCCGCGGCCAAGCCTTTTGGAGAGAGACTCCAGTGGATATCACCTACCTTTTGCATTCTGGCAGCTTTTCAGACCCAGCCATTAACTTCTCTTCTTGTGGCCTGGGGAACAACCCAAAGGAAGTGATTATCTGCCCATCAGGGGCTGCAGACTGGGTCCTGATAACCCAGAAGGGATGAGCAGATGGCCCTTCCACAGTGGGCTGCCTGTCATGGACCAGCACAGAGTCCAGGGGGAGGCAGCTGGAGCCGGGTGGGCCAGGCATCTGTGCCAGCATCCTGCTATTTTGAGCTCAGAGAAAGCCTTCCACCGCTGTATGGCGTCTTCTCAGCCCTGCCTTTCTCTACCCTGACATAGTTGATAGCCCCATCAGAGCACCTACTATGTGCCAGCCCTTGTCTCAGCCCCAGACCACCTCAGCTCAGAGCAGCCCTTCCAAAGGCCAGGAGTTAAGTCCATGCTGGTCTGACTGTTCTTCCAGATGGTAAGGGTGGGCAGGAAAGTTCGTCCCTGAGCCCTTCTCCAGAGAGAGGCCCCACCAGGAGAGAGACAGAGCCAGGGAGCCCCAGCTCCAGGTCTTCCTGTGGGACTTGTTGAGGACAGATAGCTGCACCCCAACAACACAGCAACAAAAGGGAGGAGCATGATACCCAGACCCCTAAGAGGAGAGGTATCGAAGGACGCCACCAGGCTGCCCCAGCCTCTCCACCCCCAGCACACACAGACACGCGACTCTCCTCTCTCATTATAGTCTTCACAGTCCCTAGACACAGGCACATGTGAGATGAGAGCAAGTCTTGAGGTCCAGCCAGAGCATCTACCCCCAGAAGACACGGTGCCCGTCAGCCCAGGCTGACACTAGAGGGGCTTGGTTTTGTTGATACTTGATGCTGTTTGACCACAGAGCCTTTTCATAATAAAACGCATGGAACCATTCTAGAACTCATGTTCCCTGGAATCCTCAGGTGTTAGTGTGTGGGTACAAAAGCCTCCACCAGGGAGGGGTCCTCAGAGCCATCTGCAGGTCACACGGAGATGACCTTTGAGAGATGGAAGCGAGGGAAGGGTAGGAGAACAAGTCTGGAGGCCAGAACTGTGTGGGGAAGGAGAGGGGTCCCATCGGTCCCAGGCGTTCCGGGGAGGCAAGGGCTGGCCTCAGAAGTTAAGATGACTCAGCATCCATGAGGCGCATTCTCCTCCTGCCCGCAGCCCAGCAAGTTTCTGGGGTTCCGGTAAAGCCAGGGGCCAACCTATTGCAGCCCAACAAGCAGCTGAGCCGGGGTGGGAAGATGGGGACAGGAAGGTGTACCCCAACCTCAAATAATGAGACTTTCTTGCATCCCGACCACCTGCAGAGGAGAAGTACGTCACCGTGCACTCTTACACCAGCCAGAGCAAGGACGAGATTGGCTTTGAGAAGGGCGTCATCGTGGAGGTGATCCAGAAGAATTTGGAGGGCTGGTGGTATATCAGGTAGGAGCCGTGGAGAGGAGTGAGGTGCTCCTTTCACCTCCCATCCTCTGGGTCCCAGGATCCTGAGCGGAACTGATTACAAAGTCCTTGACCAATATATATAGCAGTTAGGTGCTGGCATCAGCTTTGCAGTCACCCCAGGGACCTGGCTGCTGCAACTCCACCCAGCCGAAAAGCATGATATGACATTGCACCACTTGCAGACTTATCACCTGGGACACAGGACACGTAGAGCAGAGGCAGAGCTGGAGCCAGCAGGACACGGGAACCCCGGCTCGCTCGGCACATCCGTTCCTGCACAGCTGCCAGCAAGGGCTCAGCGCATCTGAGGCTGCTTTGTCTGCATCCGGTGTCCAAGGACCTCTTCGCTGAGGTCCCAGTAGGCAGCCTCTGCTGCCCACAGCCCAGCACTCGGCCAGATGTGGGCTTCTAGCCTCAAGTTCCCTGCAGCTGTGGGCTGGTCTTGGTCTGCTCTGCTTTGCCCCAGCAGTGTTCGCTTACTTGGTGGCGAGTGCTGGGGCAGCATGAGGCCCGAAACTAGGTCAGGTTCAAGTCCTCAGAGGCCCTCTTCCTCTCCCAGGACCTGCTCATGCTTCCCAGGGGAGTAGAGAACTTTCCCATCCCTCATGGAAGCGAACAAAATTCCATGGTCTTCACCTACCCTTGCCCATCCAGGTCATGCCTCTTTCTTGTCTCTCCTCTCTGGTTCCCCTGGGATACTTGCTTTCAAAAAAAGCCTTTTGGTTCCTATGGAACTGGCTTTGCTGTGATAGCTTTGCCCAGCTTCTCTCTCCTGTGCCTGAAAGGTGGTTCATACCTGAGCTAGGGGGCCAGCCTTTGCGAAGAGAATTGCATGTTCTGAGGGGCGGTCTCCTGTCCCCTGCACTGAGGTGACCCAAGCACTCATGAGTTGGTTTCTCAGATCACAGGAGACCCTGATGGTACTAAAAACTGGTCTCTGCCAACAGACTAGCTGTGTAGAGGTTGAGCCTCAGCCTTTATCTCTCTGTCCTTTCTGTCCTGGCAGGGAGTTTAGAGGGGGTTGTGTCCCCAGACATGTGCTACCCATAGTCACAAGACTGCTTTGTTTCTTGAATGTTCTAAGGTGATCAACAAAGTCACCCTGAGCTGCTGCTTCTAGTCAGTTCTTGTCTCTTGACCTCGTCCTTTGGCCAGCAGGAGCAGGAACTGAGAAAGTCCTGCTGCAAAGGTTCCACCTTAAGAAAGCTGCTAGACACCCCCTTAAATATGCCATTTCCCAACATTCCAAGCTCTGTGTTGATCCTCATTTCCTGTCTTTCTCCCCTCCTCCCCACTACTCACACACACACACACACACACACAAACACACACACTCTCTCTCTCTCTCTCTCTCTCTCTCTCTCTCTCCCCCTCCCTCCCTCCCTCCCTCTTTCCCTCCCTCCTTTCCCATTTGCTTCCCTCTGGAGTCATTCCATGTTCCAGAGCTGGAAAGCAGATGTGAGTAGAGTTTGGCCCCAGACACACACTTCTGATTCCCTGCATTTCTCGGCCTGGAATCTAATTTTATCCATGTGACGCTGAAGGAGCGCAAAAGCGTTTGAGGTGGAGGTGCTCAGGGCAGTGAAGCAGGCCTGGCCATCAATTCCACGAGAACTCTGTTGTCCCATCACCGTGACGTTCACGTATAAAAACATGTGTAAGGACTGGTCTGTCTATCTTTTCAAAGATGTGAAAGCACTGGACTTATCCAGATGCTGCCAGAGGCCAGAAAGTGACCCCTTACTTTTCTGAGTCTTGGTCGGCTCTTGTATAAAGTTCTGGATTTTTGCCTGTCGCTTCCACCCGCCCCTGGAATCATGTGCTCTGTCTACATCCACTACCTGAGGAAGCTGGACTAGTGCCCACTTGCATCCATTCATCCTGAATTGCCCACTTTGCAATCTTCAGACACAAGGATCCACAGAGCTTGCAACTCTCTTCATGGGGTGTGCACGTTAAGAAGCCATCTCCTGCCCGGATTTATAACCAAAGTTTAGGTATATTAGTAGGAACTCCAGCGTCTGTGTCCCTTGTCTCCTACTTCAAGGACAAGGTCTGACAGGGAAGGGGATGTCCTACATCTGGCATAGAGGAACCATGAGCCATTCTAAGAACCAGATGTGTGTCGGGGTGCAGACAGGGACACTGCAACCTGGCTTTGGGGTCACCCGTCAGCAATTACAGAGTCAGGAAGTAAGTTCCCAGTAGGTTTGGGTAAGACATGAAGATAAAAGGGAAAAGCTTGTTTTCAGAAGTCGTTGACTTGTCTACAATTAACTCAGCCCTGTTATTTGCTTCTCGCTTTTGTTTATGGACTTCTGGTCTGGTTTGGTTTTGCTGTACCAAAGTTTTCATCTTCCCTAGTCATGTGCATTCGTCTTTTCATTTCTACTTTCTACTTTTGGCTCCTCATTTCAAAAGCCTTTCCCAATCCCCAAGGTTATATAAATATTCACTATTTACATGTTTTGTTTTGCTGTAGAGTGCAAGACAAAGACCTTACTGATTTCTTCTTCTGAATTGGATGATAGGCTGTCCACAAATCACTTCTTGAATAATCTAACCTCCACCAGCTTGAAATGCTAGACTTGGAGTTCTGCTCTGGGGTTAACCTATGGACTTAACTATCAATCTGTCTGTTCTTGTAATCGTATCATTACCCACCCGCCTCAGTCACTCTCGTAATAGCCATCATCTTAGTTGGCTCAGTACAGTTAACAACTAACAGGTCCTTACATTTTTCAGAAGAGAACAAACTGAGCTCAGCTGTATACACTGCCTTCACTCCTCATTTCTTAGCTCTAGAATTACCCTTAACAGATTGTGAGGGAGGCAAACTCCTGTGAATTTCCATGTGGCCAACCCAGATTTCAAGCATCATCTAATCTCACATCTGCCAGAATTTGCAGAGAACAAGAACCCACCTCAAAAGGAAGTAGACAAAAAAAGAAAGGAACTAGAAAGGACAAAGCAGTGTCCAGGGTCTACTTCTCACCCACTCACTGGTCCAGTAGTGGGACTGCCAATTCTCATACACAAACTAGTAGAAAAGGCCGGAGGATGGAACCTGGTAGTTGGCATGAGGCCAGTCATCAGTGCTCTAATGACCGCATGTCCCACTCCTCCCCACAGATACCTGGGCAAAGAGGGCTGGGCACCAGCATCCTACCTGAAGAAAGCCAAGGATGACCTCCCGGCCCGGAAGAACCTGGCAGGCCCAGTGGAGATTATCGGGAACATCATGGAAATCAGCAACCTGCTGAACAAGAAGGCGTCAGGGGACAAGGATGGACTGGCGCCCGAGGGCGAGGGCTCTGAGGCCCCCATCACCAAGAAGGAGATCAGCTTGCCTATCCTCTGCAACGCCTCCAATGGCAGCACGCTGGGCATCCCCGAGAGGACTGTCTCCAGGTTGGAGCAGGGCTCTCCAGCTGTGGCCAGGATTGCCCCTCAGAGGACCCAGATCAGTAAGAGCTTCACTGACCCCCTAGTCCTGGTTATAGAATGGACAGAGCATGTGCAGGACCCTCCAGGGGCTCCACGTTGTACCATCAAGTTGGAACTGACCCTCCAGCAGATTTTCAGAGACAGTAAACCACATGGGAGTTGATGACCTGTCTTTCTCCCATGGATCAGCTAGTGGATTTGAACCATGTAACTTTAAGTGGACAGTGCAGCTCCTTACCATTAGGCCACTAGAGTTCCTTAGGGGCTCCATAGTGCCCTGCTTTTCTTGAGATAGACTGATCCCTAATCCGTGTGTCACCCTATATCAGCTGACCCTCACTCCATCAAATTGTATGGCACTGATCACCAGAGAGTGGTCAAGCCAAGGGAAAGTGGCTGGCTCGGGTTCTCCCAGCCCCTCCACTGAAGATGATAATCATGTGATTATCATTATATGATTATATGATCCGCTAATACCCCTCCTCTAGTGGATAGCCACTCTGGAGGAGCACATGGCCTAAGGCAACAAGCGTTGCTATAATGATTTTTCTCCCCCCTGTAAGTAAGGACTTATAAATCAAGATGGATGATTCTGTAGTTAATTTTTTCCAATTTCACTGGGCAGTTTAATGTAGGCCCTGTACCCGAGGCTGCTTGATGAATGACAGCCTATAGAAGAACATCTTTCTGGGCCTTTCTGTGGCCTTCCACCAGTTACTGGAAACCTATAGGACTTGAAGGCGGGACTTTTTACTGCTCCCTGCAAGCAGATTCCAGTGTCTTTAACTCATGAGACTCCTAGGCATCTGGTGCTGTCGAAATGTCCATCGCTAGCCCAGCAATAGCCTTGGTTGAAGGTCAAACTGTTCTAAATTATAGGGGTTACGGAGATTAGCTTTTTTCATGCCTTTAGTGGGGAAAAAAGAAGTTTAGCCATTCTTAAACTCTGGAGGAAAGCTGTTTTTGTTTAGCTCTGGACTCCTGCCTGGGACCTTTTGGTCAATCACATGGCAGATATTTTATTAGACACCTACTCGGACTTGACACAGTGCTAACTTTGAAGGATGTTGTCATGAACAAAAGGTAGACATGGTCTGTTCCCAACTGAAGATCTGATATGTACTCTTCCCCCTGGGGGGGAGGGAATGCCTGTCTACCCACACATATTTTTGTATGTTCATATAATTTTATACATTTCATAGATTCCCCCAGAGCACACCCAGGGAACATAAAAGTTCTGTGCTTGCTGATCAGAGAAGCCCAAGTATGGTTCCTGTAGTGATCTAGCAAGATGGGGTCCTTCCTAATCCAACTACAAAAGCATGAACTTCCAAGGACCAGGGTTGTTCTCACTTAGGGAAGGAGAGCTCAGCACTGTTACCTGTTTTCAGGCTGGGATTTCTGAAACCATGCTTCTTCTTCCAGGCTCCCCAAACCTAAGGACACGGCCCCCTCCCCGCAGAGAATCCAGCCTGGTATGTATGCTATTCTCCTTCTTCTCTTCTTCTCTTGAGAGTGGACTCTAGCGGCTCCACATTTAAGCAGCTCTCTTACTGCCGTAGCTGTTGGTCCAAAGGTCGCCAGGCCACTGCTGGGGCTTCCAGTTTTGGGAGCATGAAGCGGAGAGGGACGCCTGCAGACGCCAGCCTTTGTAGGGCCTGGATGGACAGTTTATAATTTGGAAACCCACTGCGTTGCAAAGCTAAATAAACCCGTCCTCAGCCACTGCACTGGCAGACATAAACATTTAGACTGGCCCAAGAGAGTGTCCAGGCGGGATTTTGCCAAGGGCTGGAAACAAGACCTCTGTCCACGCCAGCCTAGAGGCATTGCATCTCTCTGCTTTGCTGTCAGCTGCCCTGTAGCTAGAGTGGGCTGCTGCCCCTGGACACGCAGAGGTCTGACCAGCCTTCAAGGAGGGCTCCTGTGAGTGGAGTTTCTGGTGCTCAGGCCTGCAGGCAGGCAGACATGCACTCAAGAGTTAGGAATCAGGGTATCAGTCAAGTCATGCTAGTGGCCAGCCCCTTGTTGGGCCAGTTGACTCTGTTGGGAAGAAAGGAGCATTAAGCCTACCTGGCATGGACAATTCCTATTCCACTTCTGACATAAGACGCTGGGCAAGCCACTTATTCTTCAGAAGCCTCCGTTTGTTCATCTGTAAAATGGGTGAGCTGTGTTGTTCGTAGGGTCCCTATATATCCTAGTCAACTTGATGGCACCTGACAACCAACCAAATGGGAAGAGCACCAGCCATCTCCTGGGGCTGGTGTGAGGCTTATATGAGATAATGGGTGGAGAAGACCAGCACAGAGGCTTCCCTTTCCTGTAGCAACTGATTGGCCGCACTGATCAGGCACTGTGTCGAAAAGATTCTAAAGTCACTCTGGGCTCAGCAGCAAAACTGCCTAGTCACTGAATGGCTCCTGCTCTGGTGCAGGAGAGGGGAGAGCAGTGCCTGCTGGGTAGGCGCTGGGGGATCATGGGATGTTGGAAGACCCGGCCCCTGGAGATGAGCCCAGCTTGTCCCTGTCCCCAGATCCAGTGGTGTTTCTTTTCCCCCCTTGACTTGTACGTGGCTGAACAATGAGCCCTCTTTCTCTCCATCTCGTTTAGCCCTAGCTAATGATCTTCAGGCAGACTTGATTTTTGGCAGGAATGGGGTAATTCCTTCCACACTCCCCAAATGCAGGGATTGCTGGAGCTGGGCTGCTGTTTCCAGTTAGGCCTGGCTGAATCCTGCCAGGCTAGGGTTAGTAATCCCACCTGTCTGGGCCAGGCTGGCTGACATCTTCTCACAGGAATAACTGCAGGCTAGGCACCCAGGGGCATGGAAAGTTGGCTGATTCACATCCCATCCCTCAAAACCAGCCATGTTCTACCACTCACTCACACACTCGGACCCCAAGCAGCTGCCCAAGCAGCTCAGCTCCGTGAGACCAGCAGGGTTAAGACATGCTGCCCCTTGAAGATGGAGGACTTCTGCAGTGTTGGGAGGAGAGTGCAGTGTTCATCGTATTCCCTGAGCACTCCTGGGCCCTGCAGCCAGCCAGAAGGCATGCCCACAATCTCTCCTAATCCCCTTACTAACCCGCTTGTTGTTGAGTCAGAACCCAGTTACTAGTACCATTTTATAGATGTGGAAACTGAGGTTTAGAGTGGCCAAGGGGCTTGGCCAGGGCTGCACAGCAGAGCTGGGAGATTTCGGAGCCTGAGATTAGAGGTCACATCTGCCTAGCTCCAAAGTAGAGGTCTTCTGAGGTCTTCCTCCTACATCACAGCTGCTTCCCCTTCTCGCCCACTCTTTTAAAAATTGTTTTCTTTTAACCCATTTGTAAAAGAGAACAGTACAGGGAGTAATGGGGAAGTGTGAAGTCCACTCTGGTCAAAGTCAAGGTTGTGAGCGAAGCTAGACTGTGCAGTCCATGAGTGCAGGGTGTGTCCACTTGGCTGGCTGCTGGATGACTGGAACAGTGTCTAGCCCCCAGGAGGCCCGTAGTGGACGTTTGTGAAACAAAAGACGTTGGCGACTCCTAGGCTGAGGCCAAGTCGTAAATGTCTTTGAATGTCATATTAAGAAATCAGTGCACCAACATCGACTTCTAAACAAAACATTTGGGATTTTCTGTGATCCTCCCCTTCCTGCATACAGTAAAGGGTGCGTTATGCTCAACATTTGCTTGATTTGGGGCATCACCGAGTTAACTGAACCAGGACTCTTCTCATCCAGCCCCAGTGCCCCCTCCACTTCCACTCCCACCCCTCTAGAGCTGGGTGCTGCCTTGCCCTGCCTCTGATACCAGATGTCACCCTCGTAGCCCCTCACACTCCGCCCCAGGGCAGTGGACCAGACTTGGTTACAGCTGTTCCTTTCTTTACAGTTTGCATTTTGGGGATCCAGCTATTGAGGCATCTGGAAACGAGATTTCCAGAGATTTAACAAAAACCAGTTGCCGAGAAGTCAGCTCTATTCATGACAGCCACGTGGCTCTGAGAGTAGAGCTGTATTCCATCGTGTTTCCTGTGACTGATTCCATCTCCCAGCCCCCAGGATAGACTGACAGCTCTTTATTCCAAAGCACTTCTGGGTGCACTCAAACCTCCTGCCATTCCTTTGACAACCAAGATCAATAACTTTGCAGCACCTAAGAGCCCTTCCTTCAGAGATGGAGGGGTAGGAATTACGGGGTTAGTGATGATTCTTTTGATAGTACGGATTATTAGAATGCCTGATCAGGGTATAATGTCTTGGACACACAGCTGCATATCCAGGTGAGGGATACATGCTCAGCCCAGCTGTTATTTCCTGATTCACTCATTTTTTTTTGTTCCTTGGGTCCTTCTCTGTCAGGGGTTCCAGTTGCCGAAGCCACCAGAGCCCCCTTCTGTTGAAGTGGAGTACTACACCATTGCGGAATTCCAGTCTTGCATTTCTGACGGCATCAGCTTTCGAGGTGGACAGAAAGCAGAGGTAAGCTCTGAGCCGTGAGACCAAGTGTTTTAGTTCTTACTGGTTAAAAGCTTACCACATTTCTAATTTTACATCGTGCTGGCAACATCCCTGAGGGGTACACAAGGAAGTTGAGGAAACAGTACTCACGGGTGGGAATTGCCTACAGCTAGTAAGTGTCACTGTTGGGGCTGTTGTTATTGTTGTTGTTGTTATTTGCTGTTGAGTCAGAACCAACATCTAGCTGACCCTGCAGTGAGTCTCTGAGGTTGTGAATCGCATGGGAGGAGAATGCCCATCATCTTCGCTCGGAACAGGTGATGGGTTTGAACTGCCTACCTTTGCATTATCAGCACAACTCCCTATAGCCAGGACCAGTCCCCAGGATTTGTATTTCCCTCCCATGCTCCCTGTATTTCCTTATCGTTCCCCTCTCACTATTGCTCCTAGGATATTACAGGAGCTCACAGGATGGGAAACCTTGAAATAAAGGGATTCTATGGGCATTCTAGTGGCCCAGTAGACAAGGAATTATGCTGCCAATCCAAAGGCAGGCAGTTGGAATCCGTCAGCTGTTCCGTGAGAGAAAGATGGATAATCTTCCATTCAATTGACAGCCTCTGAAAACATGTTGGAGGGTCAGCTGTGAGTCCACTCCAACTTGACGGCAATGAGATTGGGATTGAGATTGTGGTCACATGAGTTTGAAGGACAGTAGATTAAACAAAATCCAGTCAATTTTCTTTCTTTAGCCACAGGACTTCTCAGAGCCTGTGGGGTGGTGGCATGCACTGCGAATCTCTAAGAAGGAGGCAGAATAGGCAGTACTCCCCACACCCGTTTTGCCTGGAGCAGCCCAAGTGCTAAGATAATAGGGTCCAGGCAAGTGGAGTAAGGTACTCTGGTCCCACTCACACCACACAGGGCCCTTCTCCCCTAGACTTTGATTGCTTCTCTTTGCAAAATGTGGTAACAGACCCCTGAACCTTCCCCGTCTCCATCTCGTATCCTTGAAGCTCTGCTTTGTGGTTGGTCCTGACTATGATATGCCAAGCGACAGAGAAGATCTGTGACTGGGACATTCGCCTTGCGTGGCTTTGGGTAGCGATGGATTGAATTAGAGTACGTGAGACTGACATGAAATAAGAGGGTCTCTTCCTGTTGAAGGGGTGCTCTCTCCAGCATGAGCATTTTAAACCACACGTCTACAACTTGAAAGTCAATATCCAAGAGAAAAACAGTCCTCAGTCATTTCCAAAAGAGCCTTCCAAAGGCTCATTGTGTAGCAAGACTGTCCTGCTTAGGATCCAGCCAAGCTCGAGACTAGTTACAGGAGGTGGACACAGTGAAGTGTGGGATGCAGAACCACAGGGCAGGAGCAATGCCATCTCTGTGTTCTCGTGGGGCTGCACAGTGCTGGGCTCCAACAGAGTTGACTTTGACCTTTCTCTCTTCCCTTTATTCCTTGTCCCTCCCCCTGTTGCCCCCAAGTTTTTCATGCCATCCTTCCCCTTCTGTGGAACCTCTTCCTCTTTGTCACACAATCCAGAATTATCTTTCCTTTCTCTTTTGCCCTCCACACTACAGTCCAACCAGCAAGCAAATGCATAAGAGTTTTCCTGGTCTAGTTTATACTGATGTAGAATTGACTGATAGCACTTCATCCTTCATGGCAAAGGACACAATTCAGTGCCAAGAGAGCCCTTCTGCTGGTGGGATCAGGCGCGAAGGGAAATGACCGCACATTCTGTAGGGAGCTCTTGGCTCGAGTCTCTACCTCCTCCTAGTTCAGCTCTTGCACCTTCCCATCCTCTTTGCTCTAAGGAGGCCTTGGCAGTATTGGAGGTTGTTGTTAGGTGCCATTGAGTTGAATACGATGCATCACAATCCTGTGAACAACAGATCTGAACCCTTTCCTATCCTGTACCCACCTCAGAATCTCTGACACACTTGAGCCCACTGTGAGCTGACACTGTGTCAGTCCCTCTCTTTCACCAACCCTCCACCTTTCCAAGCATGATGTCCCTCTCCAGACAATAACGTCTCCTAGCAACATGTCCAAAGTGTATGAAAACTTCATCGTCTTTGCCTCCAGAGAGCACTCTGGCTGCACCTTGTCTGTCTGTTTTTTTGTCAATCCTTGAGCTCTTCAGCATTCTTCTCCAATACCACCATTCAAAGGCATCAGTTCTTCTTCTGTCATGACTATTCATTGTGTTGTTGTTAGGAGTCATCAAGACAGTGACTCTTAGTGCCCTGTCCTGTGTCATCCCCATGGTCATGCTGTGCTCCGACCCACAGCCGCAGTCACTGCCTCAGTCCGTCTCACGGAGGATCTCCCTCTCTTCTCCTGACCGTCCACTTCTTCTGCTGTGATCTGCTTTCCCATGGCCTGATGCCTCCTAACAACATGCTCAGAGTGAGAAGGAGTAGAATGGCCTCTCTTTGTGCGTGTAGGTCCTTGGCGAATTAGCTTCTACAGAGTTAGGCTTCTAAAGTGTAGCTTAAGGGGAGTTGAGGCTGCCGGAGGAAGCTGGCTAGACCAGCATGTCAACAGAGACTTAGAGGAGCTGGAGAAAGAGACTTGGAGAGAGGGAACCCCCTTACAGCCACGAGATGATGACCTTGAATTCAGGCCTCATGCCATCATGCACTGTAAAGTTGAGATAATGGCTCCTAAAGCCATTATAAAGGACATCGCAGGGACCCACATTCCTCCCAGGTCACTGAGCTGTCCCCTCTTTTCTCCCAGGTCATTGAAAAGAACTCAGGCGGCTGGTGGTACGTGCAGATCGGGGAGAAGGAGGGCTGGGCCCCCGCATCCTACATTGATAAGCGCAAGAAGCCCAACCTGAACCGCCGTACGAACATCCTGACCCGGCCCAAGGTGCCCCCGCCAGCTCCCCCCAGCAAGCCCAAGGAGGTGGACGAGGGCCCGGCAGCCCCCAGCGAAAGCCAGGACTCCCCGCTGAAGCTCAAGTACGAAGAGCCTGAGTATGACATCCCTGCCTTTGACTTCGACTCTGAGCCAGAGCTGAGCGAGGAGCCCACCGAGGACAGCGGCCCCGGGGATAGGCGGCCCACCCAGCCCCACAAGCCCTCGCCTGCCTCTTCTCTGCAGCGGTCTCGCTTCAAGGTGGGCGAGTCTTTGGAGGACATGGCCCTGGAAGAGGAGACCATCTATGAGAACGAGGGCTTCCGGCCTTTCACGGAGGATGCACTGTCCACCAGAGGCTCCTCTGGGGACAGTGACTCTCCAGGCGGCTCCTCGCTGTCCCTCGCCAGGAAGAACTCCCCCAAGTCAGGCTCCCCCAAGTCTTCGTCCCTCCTAAAGCTCAAAGCCGAGAAGAACGCCCAGGCCGAGCTGGGAAAGAACCATTCCGCTGCCTCCTCCTCTTCCTCCATCACCATCAACACCACCTGCTCCTCCTCTTCCTCATCCTCCTCATCCTCCTTGTCCAAGAACACTGGTGACCTGAAGCCCCGCTCCGCCTCCGATGCAGGCATCCGCAGCACCCCCAAAGTCGGGGCACGCAGGGACGCTGACCTGAAGGCTGGCCTGTCCTCCTGTGCCCGGGCCAAGCCGTCTGTCCGGCCCAAACCCTTCCTGAACCGAGCAGAGTCCCAGAGCCAGGAGAAGATGGACATCAGCACTTTACGGCGTCAGCTGAGGCCCACAGGCCAGCTCCGGGCCGGCCTCAAGGGCTCCAAGAGTGAAGATTCCGAGATGCCCCCCTCTTCAGCCTTGGAGAGTCCCAGTGAGGGGGCGAGGAGGGGCTCCGCCGACCTCATCACCCTCCCTGTCACCACAGCGGCGCCGTGTCCCCCCAAGAAGGAGCGGGAGGGGCCGGCCACCTCCTACATGACCTGCAGCGCCTACCAGAAGGTGCAGGACTCCGAGATCAGCTTCCCCGCAGGCGTGGAGGTACAGGTGCTGGAGAAGCTGGAGAGCGGGTGGTGGTACATGAAGTTTGGGGAGCTGGAGGGCTGGGCCCCTTCCCACTACCTGGTGCTAGGAGAGAACGAGCAGTCCGAGCCCCCTGGCAATGAGGCGGACACGGTCACGGCCAAGGGCAAGCAGAATGAGGGCAAATCAGACAGCCTGGAAAAGATCGAGAAGCGGGTCCAGGCCCTGAACACCGTCAACCAGAGCAAGAGGGCCACGCCGCCCATCCCTTCCAAGCCGCCCGGGAGCTTCAGCAAGACTTCGGGGCCCGGGGTGGTGAAGATGCGGAACGGCGTGCGGCAAATGGCAGTCAGGCCCCAGTCGGTGTTCGTGTCCCCACCACCCAAGGACAACAACCTGTCCTGTGCCCTGCGGAGGAACGAGTCCCTCACGGCCACTGACGGCCTCCGGGGTGTCCGCCGGAACTCCTCCTTCAGCACCGCCAGCTCTTCCGCCGCAGAGGCCAAGGGCCGCCTTGCCGAGCGCTCTGCCAGCCAGGGCTCAGAGGCACCACTGGTGCCCACCCAGCGCAACGGCATCCCCGTGTCCCCCGTGCGCCCCAAACCCATCGAGAAGTCCCAGTTTATTCATAACAACCTCAAAGACATGTACATCTCTATCGCAGACTATGAGGGAGATGAGGAGACAGTGGGCTTTCAGGAGGGGGTGTCCATGGAGGTTCTGGAGAGGAACCCCAACGGCTGGTGGTACTGCCAGATCCTGGATGGGGTCAAGCCCTTCAAAGGCTGGGTGCCCTCCAACTACCTTGAGAAGAAGAACTAAGCGTGGGTCGGGGGGCTCCCAGCCTCAGTGCACTGCCAGAGCCGCCCCAGTGGACGAGCAGCAGGACAGAGGGACGGGGAAGTGGGAGGGGGTGGGGGGCTACATTAAACCCTGCAGGGGTGCGACCTCAGAGATGCCACATGTGGGCAGGAGGTGGTGTGAGGCAGAGGAGTGACCGCCGAGATCCACGTGCACTTTGGTGGTGGTGTTGAGGAGTTGTTCATCATTTGGGACCTGCTGTGTGGAAAACCCCAACTGTGCCTTGGCTTGGATCTGAAACCCAAGATGAACCCGGCACCACCGCACCACCACACGTGCCACCTGGCTTTGCCCAGCTGTTGCTGCTGGCATCTGGGTCACTGGAGGGGGCTCTGTGGAGACACTTGTCAGTGTCTGTGAGCCACCAGGCGTCACCTTTCTTGGCAGTCACCACCTGGGCCTCCGCTGGGCCCCTTGGAGGACACATTTGGCTCAATTTTGTGGAGGGGGAGTGAGACCCTCTTTCTCCACACAGACTTGCTTTTGGATATTTCTGGTGGGCAGTTGGGTATGTTTTAGAAGAGGTTTATATGTTAGGCTGTTCATTTGGGTCTTAGCCTAGGCGTGGTTTGGAGGCCTTAAGGGTCACCACTCTGGGTTACAGATGGGACTTCTGTTGTACATTTATTGGGAGTTTTGTGGATTGGTTTTTGTTTTGTTTTGTTTTTATTTAATGCTATTTTTTCCACCATAAGCCAGTCGTTTGTTTGGTTTTTGCTGTGTGGCCAGGGCAGGAGCACCTGCCAGATTGGTGTGGGCTAGACAGGACTGGATGGGCCTGGAGCCCAACCTGGAGAAGCCGGAAACTGCACCCCTCATCCTCACCCGGCCTTGGTGGGCCAAAAGCCCTCACTGGAGTGCAGAGAGTGTCACCCAGGAGCCAGACTTTGAGACAAGAAGCCACCTTGTCTACCGCTGAGCGTCCACTGCTGAGTATGTTTTCCTGCCCATAAGGAGCCCAAGAAGCAACCCCCGGCCAGGCCCTAGCTGACCTTCCCTGGGGGCAGTGCAGCAGTGAAGTGAGAGAGGAAAAAGTAAAGTTCCCTTCAGCTCCTGTGTTGACGTTGGGTTGTGGTTTTCAGTCATTGGCGTTCCAGAGGGGACACTCCAGAAGCTGCACCAGCTTCCCACGGACTCCCCTTTGCTGGGAGTGGTTTTCCACTTGTGCCTTTGACTTGAGACAGGGCGGGCTTCACAGCCAAGACTCCGCCGCCAGGATCCCTGGATTAAGAGTTGGTGTTTTCTTTGAAGAAGGAAAGGCCCTCCCTTCTCTCCTACCCCTTGGTCTGAAGATCAACACAGGACCTGGGGTCTCTGTGCCTTCAAGGTCCCTCCTGTCCTTGAAGACCCCAAAGGCCTTGCCGGTGATCTCCGCACACCCGCCCCTCGTCACACACTGATGGCCAGCCGACTGCTCCCGTTGTCTGTCGAAGGGCCGTGGTGAGATCATTTAGATTTGTTTGTTTGTGAGTTTGTTTAAAAATTGAAACTAGTTAATTTTCTTCTGCTGGACAGTATTAAATAGAGCCGGATGTCGAGATAATCTGCTAGATTGCAGTACTAATGGTAGTGGTGTAGTGTCTTCATAGTAATATTATTTTTTACTTATTTGAACAATAATGATAAGGAAGTGGTTCATTACTTTTTTTTTTTAATTAATGCACTTTAGTAAGATGAAATGGAAAGAAACCCGGAAAGTAAAGTGCATTACTTAAAGATGCAGTATATACTTTTCTCATTTTTAAACAGCACATATTTATTGAAAGGGGGAAGAAATTAATTTATGATTATTTAAAATAAAATTTAAAAGTAGAGTGTTGCGTTAAAGGCCCTTCCGGGTAGCTATATCTTCCAGGGGGGAGGGCCCCGGTGGCCTCACTCCTCACGTGTCTGCACTGAGCCAGTTCCATCATTAGCCAGGCCAAGGAGGGTGCAGGCCCCATCTGCAAGCACAGAGCGCCTCAGTAGGACTGGACCCCACTGATGCCCTGCCAAGCCCACCACCACCCGTGAGGCCCACGTTCATCCGGCCCCCTCAAGATCCCACCCTGCATCCACAGTGCTCTAAGTAATAGTTCTTAAAAGGCAGCACCAAACAGGACCTCAAAGGTCCCTCCCTCCTCTCCTCTCCTGTTACTGCCAAGCAAACTGCAGCCCGGTGACAGGAAATGACTGGGCCAAAGTCCTACAGCTACTTCATGGCCAATCTCCCCACTGTGTTAGGCCTTGTGCCTGCCTCACCCCCACCCGAGTCCCCTTCTTAGTTTATAGTGTGGTCATCGTGTTTACATTGTGACAGCCAGCCACAGAGGCTGAGAGTTGCTCAGGCATCCGGAGAACAGTGGGGGATGCTGCCACCTGGTGACAGGCGGTGAACGGTCCTTACACCTCTCCCCCTCATCCCGCCCCCTTGACTCACAGCAGAAACCCCTTACAACCCAAAGAGAATATTAATACTTGAAGCAAGAAGGGTGTATGCCAGTCCCTCAGACACCGCATGGCCAGGGGACACCAGGCCCAGTGCCCCTGAGCCTTGGCCCCCCTGCCCCGGGCTGAGGGCCCTTCCCTAGGGCTCCTGAGCTGCTTTATGATGGAGGAGGTGCTGCTCACAGCTGGTGGAGGAGGGAGGGGGCCCGTGGCTCTGCCCCTCCTGGAGGAAAACAGATCAGACTCAAAAAGGAAAAAAAAAAGTGAAATCTCACCAATGTCCAAACCTAGTTTCCCATTAGATTGAAAATGTGAAATGATGGTGTATTGCTGTATACTGCAACTTTAATCCTAATGAGCCCTTCTGAGGTCATTATTGAGGTTCATATAATGCCCGACGATGCATCTTTTGGTGCTTTTTCTTTCAGTTTAAAGACTTGTTTTCTTTTTATTACAGCGTGGGGTGGGGGGGCATGTCTTCATCTCTCCCTTCCACTTTGTTGTAACCACCACCCTGGCTGGGCTCCCCCTCATTGTCTGCCCCCCATTTACTGATCCCACCAGGACATGGAACTTGGGGACAGTAGGGGGAATCTGTCCTGGGGATTTTTCCTTAACCCTGCCATGCCCCAGCCTGGGCCCAAATCCTTCTCTCTCTTCCTCCTCGAATCTCCCCCTTGACGAAGGCATTATATAGAATCATTTTAATCACTTTCAGATGTTAGAGCAGCATATTTTACTGGCATTTATATCCATCGCTTTCCTCAGCAAGGCATGTTACTACTTTTATCATCTACGGGGGGAAAAAAAAGACAAGGGAATTTTGGTCAAGCATTATTTTCATATTACTAATATTCACAGCGTAGGTATAGAACTATTTAAGTTTAGACCTTGGTTTGGTAGTATGTTTTTGTTTTTAAGGCAAAAAAAAGAAAAGATAAAAATAACCCCTGCTTTTCCTCTTCTTTGTTTTGTTTTGTATTTAAACATATTATTTCTTTAAGGTTACTCACATCCCCCCTGCTCCCTATCCAAATACTTTGCATTCTCAATCAAAAATGAAAACAGTCTGAGAGACAGGAAAAGTGCAATATTATCAATAGGGACCCAGGGCTTGATGGGAACAGTGTAGTGATACCCCAGGGCTCAGGAGGAGGGGCTGACGGGAAGGGCTGTAATTGGAGTGGTTGGCTGGTAGAGTCCCATCTTTCCCTGGCAAGATGGTAGGGATTTCTACCACAATGTGGCCCTGTTTTGTGTTTTTTTTCTTCTGCTGAATACCATCAACACAGAAAAGAGGGGTTCATGGAAGTACCAGTGGGCCTCCTGGGGTCACGGTCCCCAAGCAGAGCAAGAACATCCAGGACCAGTCTTGTTTTCATTTCACTTGTTTTGAAGCCAGCTACTCAGAAAGATCTGTCCCAAACTGACTCCCAGCAGCCCTTCCTCTCACCCGTGTCTCCCAATGTTTAGGCCATGATGCTTCTGACGTATCAGTAAACCTTTCTAAAACTATGTAACCTCAGTTCCATTTATGGGCAGGCACCTTTTCCAGATACGGTAGGTGCCTTCAGCCTTCCATGCCCCCAGTGAGACATGACTTCTACAGGCCCACAGCAGGGCTGGTGCTGAGCCTGGGCCACCATTCATCTCAATGACTTCAGCCTGAGGAATGAGCCCTGCTGCCTGTCCAACCCCTAGCCAGTCCCCAGAGGCCTAGAAGAAGGTCTCAGGTGTCTGCAGACGGAATCCACAACAGGTACCAAGCTGGCCTCCCTCCTTGGTGGCCGTGGACTCCCCACCTTTGGAGCTTTGCCCCTTGGGTGCCACCTGGGCATCCCTACCAACGTGTCCCCTACGCCTTCAGTACTGTACACTTGCTGCTCCAACCCCTCTATTTGGTGAATTTCTGTACAGCTATGGATATATATGCCCAGAGCGGGACCACGCCCGTGTGGGTCTCCCCTTGGAGTATGTACATCTGTATTTCCGGTCTGAGACTCTCAATGCAGAACTCTCAGGAAAGAGAACCATCCATGTTGCTTAAGAGTTATGATCCCTCACTTTTTTGAGGGCCATGCATTGGGTTTGTGTATGATGTGTGTGTCAGCACACACGTGTGTGTGTGCATGTGTGTGTGTGCATGTTGGTAACTTCCCACTTGAACAAAATAATACGGGGTTAGAGGACAAACATCACCGGGCAAGCTGTCTCCATTGAACAAGTCCTCAGCATTGGGCAGGTCCCATGGGACTCACAACTTATAGCATCGAGTGTGTGTGATTCGCACACATCATTCTGGCTGGAGAGTGCAATGTGTCTTTTATAATTTGTTTTGTTATTATTTTATTAAGTATTTAGTTGGAAACTTCACACTGGCATTAACAGATCTCGCAGAAGCAGCCTGGGCCATCGTCCCTAGCCCTAAAATAGAAGATGCAGAAATGAGGTGGCATTGGGTGTGGACGCGCTGAGCCATTTCAGTTGGTCACCTACCTGTAGATGTGTCCCTCGAACAGGCCACTCCCTGCTGGACATGTCACCTGAGCTCAGCTAGACCCACACCTGTGAGTTTGTGAACACTTCATCCAGAGACCAGGGGGCCAGACAGATACCTAATGGGGACACTGGGG